CCCCCGGACCTCCTTAGAAATGCAGGATCCCGGACCCCAATGCAGACCCCCGGACCTACTGAGCCCAAACCAGCATTTTAACAAGATCCCTGGGTAATTTGTATGCACCACTCCCATCCGAGGGGAAAGATATTTAAGAAAAGACCCCATTGGGTGATGTTTGGTGGAATGAATGGATGGTTCTACTTGAGGGAGATCGTGAGGGAGGACGGACAGATGAACATAAAGTGATGGGCTAGAAAATTATACTAATTTGAGATTAAGGATAAAAAGATCCAGTTAGTAAAATTCCACAGAGCTAAGCTTTCTAAAAATGGAAATGTGTGAAAAAGTTCTACAAGGTTCTCTTTATTCTGTTGTATTAGATTCCTGGGGCCACCATAACGAACGGCCACAGACTAGTGCTTAAAACAACAGAAATATATTCTCTCGCATTCTGGAAGCCAGAAGTCTAAAGTCCAGGTAGGTGTCAGCAGAGTAGGTTCCTTCTGGAGCTTGTGAGGGAGGATGTGCCCCACGCCTCTCTCCTGGCTTCCCGAGCTGGTTGTCAGTCCTTGGCCTTCCCAGGCTTGCACATGTCCCGCTCCAGTCTCTGCCTCTGTCATCATCCCTGGTGTGCCTGTATGTTTTCTCCCCTTCTTGCATAGACACCAGGGTGTTGGGTTAAGGGCCCATCCTACTCCAGTGTGACCTCATTTTAATTACATCTATAATAACACTGTTTCCAAATAAGGCCATGTTCTGAGGTTCCAGGAAGGATATGCCTCTTGGAGGGGACACTATTCAACCTAGTACATCCGTCTAACAAGAACAAAAGAGGTGAGTGCAGTGGGGATCATGCTGGAGAGATGTCAGGCTACTTGAGATTCATGGTCTCCTCTACTCCTGCTAGTGGCAGATGGCACATGGGGCTTGCAAGGGGTACCAGAGGCAGGAGAACTTGTATTCCCCATTGCTTGGTGGTATAGGAGAGCTTTATGTCCTTTGAAACACTCTGGGTTAATTGATCTAGGAACACGAAGGATGTTGCCCTGTTTTCTCTTAAGGCATCGGCCACGGCTGTGAGTTTGAGAGAATAGGAAGTCATGGCAGGAGCCCAGCATCCCTGACTGAGACCAAAACTAAACTGAGAACAGAGAAAGATTTTTAATTCGGCAGATGCTAGGTAGCCCAAAAGATCTACATGTGAGATAGGTAAGGGATGGAAGTTCATTATTGCATGGCATGCCAAGTGGAAGGTCCAAAATGAGCCTCAGAGAGAAAGAGAAGTTCAGAAATGTGCTCTGGAGACCCTCTGGGCTGAGGTGAGGCAGCTCTGAGGATGGGGCTGGTGTCCGTTTTATCCTTGACCTTTACTGAAGATCCTCCCCTGGACGGGTATGTTGGGAATCAGGTAGTGTCCTGGGAGAGAGATCACAGTCTGTGTAGAGATGTGAGGCATCCCCCGAATTCTGAGAAGTGGATGTAGTTCTCCTAAAGATACAGGGAAGACGTTGGAGATATTTCTTCTCGTGGTGGGGCTAGGGCCAGGGAGGGCCCCACAGAAAGGCACTTGAGCTGGTGGCTGAGAAAGGGGCTCCTAGACCAAGCAAAGCAGCCTTCCCTCTAGGGCTTCACCAGGCCCACGGCCGTCTATGGTAAAAACCAGCCCCAGTCCCTGCTGCCCTACTTTGGCTTTCCAAGAGGAGTCTAAAGAAAGAGTGACATAGAGGAAAAGAAGGGGCCAGATTTCCGGGAACAGGCCTGGGCTCCCCAGGGCTAGTCAGGAGGGCAGACCCTGCTGCAGAGACTGGATATTGTCCGAATGTTTAAAAGCCTCAAGGCAGCCTGAGACAGGTGACCACGACTTGTTTCCAGGCAGGGAGGTTGCCCCTGCCCATGACCTTCCTAGTTTGTGTGAGAAGCGAGGCCTCCCTCCAGCAGAAGGATGGGCTGGGGCTCTCCAGCATGTCTGCCAAGCACAGGCCGAGGCCACCTCGCATCCTGCCCGCATCCTGCCCAGGAGCGCTCAGGCACCAGAGGGACGCAGTGGGCCTGACAGTTCAGCCTTTCTCGCGGTGTCCTACAGAAGATAGAGATGTATAGATGACGTGGTTGGCAGTGGAATTTTCTCTGCCCTGCTGGATTCAACTCCTGTCTCCAGCTGACTTTTCCTTTAATGAGGGAGCTTGGCTTTTAGGAACCGAGTCATTTTTCACAAGCAAATGGACTGTGGGCTCCCAGGGGCAGAGTGTTCCCTTGCAGGGAGGAGGAGGAGGGAGCAGGCTGGATTTGTAACAGATTCATCAAGTTAGAGCTGCTGCCTGATGCTCTGGTCCCAGGGATGAAAGGAACCTTTTACTCCCTTAACAGCTTCAAACCCAGCTCAGATTTCATAGGGAAAAGTGTACAGTCCTGGTCCCCATTCATTCCAGGCTTGTTCACCATTGTGGTTTCTACCAGCCAATGAAAGAGACCGATTTCTTGTTTGTCCTATTAATCAGATGTGCCCAGGGCTCTCTCCCACCCAGCAGGGCTGGTTTCGTGGGCATGCTATCTGTGTGGTCCACTGGGACCTGCGCTCAGAAGGACCCTGGGCTTCATTGAACGCGTGCTCGACTGTTGTTGTCTCAAAAGTCTTCATAATTTTTGAACATGGTGCTCATGGTTTCATTTTGTACGGGGCCCTACAAATTATGCTGACTGTTCCTTAATGCCAGGCTCCCCCCAGCTCCCCCATTTACCTCCCTCACTCTTCAATCTTGGCTTGAACATCCCTTCCACAGGATGAAATGTTATAATATTGATCATTAAATAACTTGGTCAACACTAATTGAATCTGTACAGCATGTCAGGCACTGAGCTAGGTGGTCTGTGTGGATTTTCTCATTTCATCCTCTCAACAACCTGTCAAACAGCTTTCTTGGTGGGTGGGGAGATTGGGGGCCTGGAGACTTGTCCCCTCAAGGAGGACACTAACCTTCTGTGATTGGGATGTGAAAAAAGTCATTTACAGTTTGAGTATTAAATGTCCCAACCCAAAGGAGCAACCCTTGAGACTACTCCGAGGCAGGTCAGTGTGGTCCCTTCTAGAGCCCACTAATGACAAAGGGGAGGCGGGGTGACACAGGACAGAGCTGAGCTGCATCCTAATCTTGGCTCTTGTACCAACTTGCTTAGTTTTCTTGGCTGGTGCCAGAATCTCTGGGCCTAAATTCCTTTAACTATAAATCAAAAGGTCTAAACGAAATAATTTTTTCCAGCCCCAAAGTTGTAGAATTTTTTATTTAGAACCTCTGGGTGGGATGGGGTAGCTTTCAGACCACCAGGAGGTCTAATTTTTATCAAGATGGTCCAGCACTAGTCACTATGACTAAAAGGAAAAGAGCAATAACATGCTGTTTTATTGGAACCATAAGCATCTAGAAGACTTGTGTAATCCCAGGCCTTGGGTCTGTACTCTGCATGCCAGTGGGTCTTTGCCTTTGCTCAGTCCCACAGGGTTTGTTTCTCCTTTCAATAGTTGTGACAAACATTTAGCCCTTCTTGTCTAGAGTGGAAATCAGTATATTTTCCATGTACCCTTAGTCTCCCCTGTTAAAGCTGGTGAAGTGTCCTGTTTTTAAAAAAGTCTGTGTCCTTCTACCCAAACTCACAGGTACAAAGGATTTAAAGGCAACTGCTCCATGACCTTCATCGACCAGTTCGAAGCGCTACACCAGTGTAACAAGTATTGTAAAATGCTGGGGCTGAGATCACTCCAAAACATCAGCCAGAGACAGAAGGAGCCACGTGTCAGTAAAAACAAAACTCGGCCCAACTCCACAACCGTCAAGATGGCGCCCGGGCCCCCCACGGCAGGAAGGAAGACCTCGCGTCCCCTGTGACCTGATGGCCGCCAGCCAGCAGCACCCAGCCTTGTGGGCAGAAATCTGAGGACACTCAAGAGAGAACGTGTGGCCTGCGTCACGCACAGCGGTGTGACCGTCCTATTTCCCTCTGCCCCGGCGCCACCCTGCTTCCAAACCCATCACCTGCTGGCCTCCCTGAAACGACTTCGGGGCAGGATTTGTGACCAGACGTGGGGAGAGACGGAATCAGCTGTCACTCCCAGAGGACAGTCCATCTTTGTGCCCACCGTTAGCGTGTTTACCGACTTCACGTTCTTTGTCTACTTGTGTGTTTGCACGTGGTTGTGTTGTCAAGGACTTGGTGCTGAGCAGGGTCTGTCCACAGCCCAAACCCTCCCGGCGCCCCCTTCCTGACCGGGGGATTTCTAGACGCACCCAGCTGCTGTATACACGGAAAACGTGAATTCCTCCATTGGGTCAAGTCGTCAGGCTAGTGTGGAATGTTCTATTGTTGCCAGAGGTGGTTTCTAACACACAAGGCCATTTCCTTCATTCTTTACACACCCGGCTAGAATTCTGTGCTTAATTAAATTCATATTGAAACAAAGAGTGTGAGATGCATAGACTGGCACAGACACTTGCTCTTTAGAATCTGTGCTGTATTCTGCTTTCCCCCAGGATGAGTACTTTGGTGATCTCCTACTCAGCTTACTGGAGCACGACATCGATGCATCTGTGTTTTCTCCCCATTCCTACGTCCCAGCGAGGGTTCCATCAGGCTCCCCTCTGTAAAGCCAGGGCCGACCCCGCCGTAGGACACGGGAAGATGGTGCAGAGCCTGGCTGGGGCACCCCAGCTCATGGGGACCCCCGTCCCTCCCCACAGCCCACAGTGTCTCCTTCCTGGCCAGTGGGGGGTCCCACAGGAGTATAGGGCAGAATGGTAGCGGCCGTTCACGTCAGGCAAGAAGAAATGACAGAAAGACAGCTCGGGGATGGTTGTATACACTCCAGAATGGGAGAGAATGTCTGCCCGCCCCACTGGTTTGTTGTGGTGGTTGTCGAATTAACAGATTAGTTTTGAGAGTAGTTTGGGGCTTACAGAAAAATGAGTGGAAAGTACAGAGGGTCCCCATATGCTCCCTCACCCCCACTCTGCTGTTTACCCCTTTTACTGTCATCGTGCATCTGTGCGACACGTTTATCACACTCAAGGAGCAAATGTACATTGTGATTCGTTAGAGTCCATAGTTTACATGGGGTTCACTCTTCCTGCTGTGCCTTCCCTGGGTTCAACACACATGTAATGACATGAATCCACCATGACAGTACCATACAGGGTGGTTTCTCTGCCCTACCGATCCCCTGTGCCCCCCAATTCATCTTTCCTCCCCCCACCAACTCCTTGTAGTCACTGGTCTTTGACTGTCTCTGCAGTATTGCATTTTCCAGAATATCATATACAGTAGTTGGAATTCCACAGCATGCAGCCTTCTTGAATGGTTTTTGAAGATGATTTTAACTACTCCCTGACCATATCATTAGGTCACCTCTGAGCAGTGTGAGCAACGCTTCTCAAGTTGACAGTGCACACGGGTCACCCAGGATCTTGTGAAAATGCAGGTTCTCATTCGGCACATGTGGGGTGGGGCCTGAGATTCTGCATTTCTAGCACACTCCCAGGGGCTCTCCATGCTGGCCGGGGACCACACGTAGAGGGGGTGTCTACACCACAGGGCCCCGGTGGAGCACCATCTACTTCTCTGTGGGGATGTGTGAAACCACAGGAGGCGATTGCTCGAGGCCGTGGGAGCACCCGGATGGGTCCGAGCGGCCTCCCTTGAGGGGCAGCCGGCCTCCACAGAAGATGCCTGGCTTCTGCTCTAAAATACAGTTCTCCTTGGGCACCAGCTTTGGGTTAAAAAAAAGAACATACATGGGATTTTTGTTTTGAAAAGGGATTTGGAGAAATCCCTTCAGCCAGTCACATCTCATCTTTTCAGAAAATCTGCCATCTCCAGCCGTCCTCCTGAAGTGATTCCCTGGCCACAGATCATAAAATGCTCATTTTTCTATGAGCAGCCTACAGTCTTCTTTCCCCATAGAGATCCTACAGATGTATTTAGCCGTGGAGTTCTAGAAAGTTTCACAATAGCAAGGGGATCGTGGATGCTTAGATTTTTTTTTTTTCAAAGTGCCCTTATTGTTTATTGTCATCTGATTTCATCTGTCTGAAAACATTGGGAAGACCAGGGACAGAAGGGGTGCCCACGGTGGGTGGGGCTGCGTGGCCATCTGTCCACCACCCAAACACGGACCCGTTCTGAGATGATAGATTGTTTTCCTTGCACGAATAAGGTGAGTGTGCACTGGGCTCCCTTACACCAAAGATATCATTCTGGGATCTCAGAAATGCCCACACTGGTTGCCATTTTTTCAGCTCAGTAACCTGTTCAGTTTCCATTGATTTTCCTGTTTGTCTTCTTAAGTGGGCAGGGTTAGGTCTATAGACCAAGGCACTGAGCTGGGCCGGCCTAGTGGGTCCAGCTGGGGATTCTGTACCCGAGGCACACAGGGTGGTCACATACGTTAAGTGTCTCAGTTTCCTTAAAGGGCTCAACCGTGGAGCTCTGTGATGAGCAGATGACAAAAATAAATGAACGTCTCATTAAAATGGGCTTGTGTTTTCAACAGCAGGTTTATCACTAAGGAGAATGGCAGAGAGCTGATGCCTTCTTGCCAATGGGCATCATATTCTGGAGAGGTCTCATTTCGGATGTGCAGATGGCTGGCTTGTGTTAATATTTCACGTTGTCTTATGGTCCTGGCAACTCCCCAGCCACGCTTCAGAGAAGCCCCATATTAGCAAAGGGTTTCAATAGATTCATCTTAAAAAGAATGCCAAAAGAAGCAACAATTATTCTCTAATTATAAAGTACTCTCGTGTCTAAATATCCATACTGTTTTGTGCGTGTGTTGGGCACGTGTTCCGCTGGATGCAGATGGGAGGCGCCGGCCGCAGCCCGGATCGGCTGCCTGGCCCCGTGGATGTTCTGCTCAGCTGGACCACGTGTGCCGAAGTGAACAGATCTGCATTTCTCCCCCACTTGGATCTGCAGATGCCATTTGGGCTTAAATAGTTTAAAAAAAAAAGAAAATAAAAGAGACACCAAACCTCCTCTGCCTCCCAGCACAGGGCATGTTTTCCAACTCTTTGCTGTAGCAGCTTTGAAATCCTTTGACAGCCTGCCTGCACTGAAACCGTTTTGTAAAAGCCTTCAGCACGGGGTACGCCGTGTGTGGCTGCCTGGTCCCGGGAGCCCAGACTTCGGCTTTGTGATGCACCGAACAGATATTGACAAGTACTCACTGTAGCATCAGACCGAGAATTTTTAAAGTTCTGCTTTTCACGAGAGGCCCAAATGGTTCCAACTGAAATCATCTCAGAGGCTTGCTTGCTTTCTTTCTTTTTCTTCCTTTCTTTCTTTCTCTTAAAATATTTATTTATTTTAGAGAGAGAGACCATGAACAGGAGGGGCAGAGGGAGAGAGAATCCCAAGCAGACACCACGCTGAGCAGAGCCAGACGCAAGGCCCCATCTCACGACCCTGAGATCATGACCTGAGCCCAAACCAAGAGTCGGATGCTTAACCGACTTTGCCACCCAGACACCCTCAGAGGCTCCCCCGCCCCCCGCAAACCACATGTTCTTGATCAGCTCTGACCCAGAAAAGCCCTCTGTCTGCTTCTATTTTAAGGAAGAAAGTTTCCATCTTAGTATCAGAAGCAATTCCAATGCTCTCACCTCCATCTTCCCGTCCATTCCATCACTAGCTCTTTCTCTGTCCAGGAGGAATGAGAAGACGGTGCTCTCTCTGGTGTCTGTGTCAGTCTCCTGGGGCTGCCATAATAGGGGGCCACAGACTGGGTGGCTTAAATAGCAGGAGTTTACTGTCTCCTGGTTCTGGAGTCCTGAGTCCTAGATCGCGGTGTTGGCAGGGCCACGATCTTGACTGGTGCCCGGGAAGGCTCTGCTCCAGGCCTCTCTCCTGGCTTCACCTGCAGCAGTGGGACTCTGGTCTTCACATGGTGCTCTCCCCACATGCACATCTGTGTCTGAATTTCTCCCTTTTATAAGGATACCAGTCATGTTGGAGGGGGGCCCACCCTGATGACCTCATTTTAACTTGGTTCAGACCGTATCTCCAAATAAGGTCGCATTCTGAGATCTCGTGGGTTAGGACTTCAACATATGAGTTTTGGGGGAGACAATTCAAACCACACAGCATCCTTGTCTTTCACACCCACATTGCGGGCAGTTTGTTCAGGCTAGGAGGCCAGGCCAGAGAAAATCAACATGGTGTGTGCGCTGCCCCCTCAGGGCCTCCCCTGACATCAGCCCACTGGGAGCCTATCTGCACCGCCAGCCCTCATCATTCCCAGAGAAAGATCTTCATTTGGGTGCCTCAGTTTCCTCTCCTAGAGTCTTAGAGAAATCTCTCCACTTCTCAAAAGCTGGAGATGTAGCCACAGCTGCCACTGAATCCCAGGGCCCCAGCCCTCCCATGGCATTACCCCCACATCCTAATTGAGCAAACCAGCCTCGGTGCCCCCTGGCTGCTCACTCATTTCACACCATATCCCACCTTGCGGTTTTCATTCCCATCCCTTCTAGATGCCCCTGTGCCCACACACCAGCTTCTGAAACACTGCGGGGTTAACTCATTCATTTTGTTCAATGTTTATCTCCCCCATTACAGTGTAAGCTCTATGAAGACAGAGATCTTCATCTCCTTTGTTTACTGTTGGATCCCTAACAACCCAGAGTGCCTGGAACATAGTAGAGGCTTAATAAATACTTGTTAAATCAATCCTCAAGGCCCTTTAATGCCCAGATGTTCGCAGTGGATACTGTCTTCAGACCGTGCTTTCTGGTTTCTCTGTATATCACATATACTTCCACATACTTCATTCTTTTTCTTCATTTCGGCAAATCGGAGGATGAGGCTTAGAGAAAACCCTCTTCTCCCCTCTCCCATTTAAGAACGCGCTAACTCCCCTGCCCACCCCCCTCTGCCTCGCAGCACCCTGAAGCCTCCTCCCGTCTCGTCCTTCAAGCCCCGCCCCAGCAAGCCCCGCCCCCAGCTGCGGCTGATCCTTCCCACCGGAAGCTCGCCAGGTACAGCTCTTCCCCCACTTCCGGCGTCCCGCGTCCCCCGGCAGCCTATTCCAGCCTTCCTTCTCCCACTACCTTTTATTGGTGGGTCTGCAAGTAACCGGCAAAACCCCATTCTTAACCCCACCCTCCCACCCCCCGTTCACCCGTGGATTCCAGAGCTCCCAGGGCGTCGGGGGCAGGAAGAGGTGGAATTAATCTGGGCGGCGGGCTCCGTGCACCATCCCAGCGGATGCTGCTCACCCAGGAGAAGCGGGAACCTGGCCCCTTGCGCTGTGCCGCAGGCCGGCTGTGAACGGTCACACGCAAGCAGACTCTACACCTTCCGGTCCGAAATTAGTCTCTCTCTGAACTCCAGGCCCAACTCTCCAATAGCCTATTCAACGTCTCCACCCGAATTTCCAGCTGGAGGACCAAAACCAAGTCCGTCCA